ACGTTACCTTGACGATGCTGAAACACGTTGCACACTTTTTATTTTATGTTTTTGCCTTATTTTTAAGTCCTGCAGGCTCACGCCCTACAGAGTGGAGGAGAGGTAGCTTAAATGTCAATATATATTTGTAATTAATCAATACACTATTGTTGGTCAAACAGCATCATTAAGCAAAAACTAAAATAAATACTTGAATAAATAAAGTGTGTAATAAGGTGGTTGCTTTCCTCTGACTTCATGTGTTCTATGCACTATCTTAAGTTAAGAAAACTTTCAACGATATTAACATCAGCGTAGGTGTTGATTATTGTTTTTTTTCCTGTTTTCTTCTTCTCTTATAAGGCAGATTTTCCGTGATACTTCTCTCGCTTCCGGGCTTCCCCTGGTAACCCCTGTGTTTCACGTCATACTGCTATGAACTGTGGGCAATTCCCTCAGGCAAATTCTGCAGAAATGCAGACTTACGATAAGGGTCTATAAAGGGCTCAAAATGTCCGCAAGAGAGCCCTTGCACACTTGACGATTTGACAGTGGGACAGCCCTAAGCCCTCACGGACTTCCCGGGAACGTGCCTTAAAGTCTGTGACTCTGTGAGGGGGGACATTGGGACTGGGCCTATGTGCGGGCCAGAATGAAGGAAGTAGAATCACAAAAGGACAAATAACAAGTTCTATTTCGTATAGGCCAATATATCGCTATTGGGTAGACCCCTCTGTGCGCCTGCATGGCACTGAGAAAATTTGTCTACGGGCCTCTCCTATGTCCGCATCTTGTATATATACAACTGTGAGACTCGACCTTCAGCTCCCATTTTTCTTCAGCACTGAGCTGTCTAAAGAGCAGAAGATTTCGTGTCGGAAAAGAAGAGCGATGTCTTCTAGCAAGTTGGCCCGAGCGGTTAGGGACGCCGCTATATCAGTGCCACTCTCTTGACGAAGCCCTCGACCTGTTGCGGATCGGATGAGCAGGAATCCCCCAGCGGCTCCCCGCTTCCCCCGTTCCAACCTCCTGTGAGCTAACAGGTAGCTAACGGTAAGCTAACGTGTAGCTGACATTCAGTCTGTCCCTGGATCAGCCGACCAGGGAGACCCCATGTGTCCACGTTGCACCACATTAGCTGCGGCTAATGACATCTAGCAACCAGTTTCATTGCTGCTGGCCGACCCTTGTCGGTCAGAGCGGACCACTGGTAAACTATGGGTCGAAAAAAAGTTGAGTGTGAAATCTTGTTGCTCCTTTTTGTGGAAGTTGTTGAACAAATGCTGTCTGTGCCTGTCTCAGTCGAACTAGCCACACCAAGCACACATTTCCCACACTGTGTGAGCCAGCTGCCGTTAAATCTTACTTGTGAAAAGTAATCCCTCGAGCCCTGTTTGCAATGGTCCGCCGATTTGAGCATGAATATGCTGCACAGCGCTCTGGCATCTCGCTTTCTTCAGCTGCGCAACTGGGAGTACGACCGGTTCAAGATGGCGGACGCATTTCTTGCGCCCAGCGGCTAATAGGGCGTCTACCTCTAGATATGTCTATGTTTTAGCATACACGTCTTGGCCATTCCTGAGATGACAAAGACATGTATGTATGTAGCAAAAGGTTGTTCCCATGGTCCCTGTAGAGTCACATATTTGTCTGTGTTAAAATCTCACCAGCATGTCTGTAGAGTTTCTATTGTAAAACGTGACCCTTTGATCAATAATCAAATGTTAATCTTGTGGCTCTTTAAAATTGTTACTGCTTGGCTCAAGGCTGGCAACAAAAAGAGAGGCCTCACACAGATTACAGAAACAAAAATGGTTTATTTTACTCAAACTAACAAACAACTTAACTAAGTGAGATATAACTAAGGTAGATATGATGAATATCAGACATGTCAGAAGTGTGTGGACGAGTGAAAATGAAGTGTAATGCATGTTGATGGGTGCAGCAAATTAAACAAAGGAACAAAGGCTAGGAGCAGGCCAGCAGAGAGAGACGGACTCCTAGGGCCTTTCCGAAACTAGACCCTCACCACTTCCACTCCGACACAAAGTGAACTCTGGTCGGAGTCACCTTCACAGCCAAATCGAGCTCCCTAACTCGCTTAGGGTTTAAATACAGCGGCCAACTTTCGGACAAACTACCCTCTCCCCACAGATTAAATAGGATCTGATGTTACTTAGGCCTACTCACTGCTATAATTTGTGTATCAAATAACAGTTATATTAAGATTCAGGACTGATGTTGAGGAAAAGTTTTTTGCAATAACAAAACTTAAAGCATTTGTCATTTATTCCGTGTTTGTTTCAAATATTTCTTTAAGAACCTGACTTTAGACATCATGAAAAAAAAAATTATATTATTTTATGAAAAGATTGAAATTCATTGTAAAGAAAAGCCTAGGCTATATATTTAAACCTCTTTATCTTATATGAAAAATATTACATTCACAAATGCAACATTTCAATATAAATCAAATATTATATTGAAGCATTATAGTCTGAAGAATTTGAAACAGTTGTATAAAGATTGTATATAACTATTTTTCTTTAAAGCCTTTGTTTCTCCCTGTGTATCAAGTTATGCCATGTTCTGTTATTCTAGTCGTTTAATGTAGGCTATTTTATTTTGGCTGAAGATTTTCGCATGAGATGAATACGATTCAAGAACAACAACAGTTTTAATCAGACAAGAGCCTTTTTTAATTAAATACAATACAACATTTGGGCTACGTTGTTAACCTGTGAATGGTGATATGAAATGTTAGTGTAGTTTCGGAATTAAAAATCCCCCCATGTTAACCGGCGAAGTCACGCGGAACTCGCATGTAAAAGAAAGGTCCCCCATCGTGCAGCAAAGGGTGTTACACATTTTCAACAAGCCAGCTTCGCTGCTCACTCTGCATCTGAGGGTTTAACATCCCACTACCACTCCGCCCCACTGGTTTCGGATGCCCCTCAATGTGGCGGACCCTCCGCATCAATGTGCAAACGGAGTGGAAGTAGGTAGGGAGAGGGAGTAGCGAGCAGTTTCGGAAAGGCTCCTAGAAAGGCAGCCCTTTTATGCCCTCTAGGAAGCCCAACCCAGATGGGCAGGTACAAGCATTGAACCCTCCCAGCTCCACCTACAAGCCACACCCAGCATCTGCAAAACAGACAAGGAAGACACACGGGCAGGCAGACTGGTCACAAAATGTTAACAAAATTGTGACCAAAACTCATTTCCTAAAATTAAACAATCAGTACTTACAGTGTAAAACTAATTTACAAAATCAACAATTTAAAATGTTTTTTTAAATGCATTTTAAATCAATAAACAATTATAGATTACAGATTATTACCTGGATTAAGCAGAAACAAAAGTAGCTGTAACATAAACTCACATTGGGCACATTATCCAGATACAATGGCAATACAATGAAGTAAAGTTCACCAAGTTCACATCAACCTCGTATTTCCAGCATTGGTGGCGCCGCATCAGCTCTTTATATAGCTATAATTTAGTATTCAAGAGTCTGACTCACTTGATATGTTTCATCCCTGTGCAAAGCCACAAGATCAACAGGAAGTTTTTAAGTGCTTTTTAAAAATCTGCCAGGTTATGCGACGAACTTCTGACATTTGAGGTGTTAAAGAAGACGCGTTTCCAGCAGGAAGCTGTGGCCTCTATATGATATAAATGTTGACATTACACTGTGTGATACAGCCCCTCAACCAGCCAGTGAGTCAGTCAGCAGGCGAAATCATGGCGCTAACAACTCTCTGCACTGTCGTTGGTGAGTTCTGATATTATGTGGTTTTTAACATTAACTGCATCCTGGTTTCTGAGCGATTTTAATGTTAGTACCCTCCAGTTAAAACCTTTCTGTTGTACATGCTAGTCTGTGTGTGTTTATGCTCGTTCTGTGTGTGCACATTGAGAACAACGTCAGGCCAGAGTCAAACTCCTTGTAAGTTCACAGATATCTGGCCTATAAAAGTGATTCTGAATGTTCCCTGTGATTACTCTATGGTCAGATTAAAGATTAAAAGTTTGATCAGTAATGATATGAACTGAATAAAGGACATTAATTCACAAGTATTAATGTCTGAACTAAGGTTACAATAGTTATTTTTCAATGAATTACTATAAATACATTAATATAACAGTAAAACAGACTTCTAATACATTTAACTGGTTGTTTCTCACTACTTGCTGAATAACCACCAGAAACGACAACTTATACTACATTACTTCATTGTATTAACTACAGGTAGACTTTTGCATTAGTAATCAGACTTCACTCACCACATCATCACAGAAACCATCTATTTAATTTCACAGCCAGACATTCGTCGTTCAGAGTCTCTGTAGAGATATTCTTCAAGCTTGATCTTTACAAATGTTAGTTTCTCTTGTTGTGGTTTCACAGTAGCTGCAGCTTCTTTTTTTATATCTGGTTTTTGATTGTGGGCGACATCTGAAACTTTAATTGTTTGTTCTAGTCACTATCTACTGTAGCGCCCTGCAGCTGCAGATGCTATCAACGTTCACCTTTATAGCCCAGCGTTGTAGACAGACCGACTCATTTGCTGTTATTATTGTAAAATAAACTCAACAAATCACTTCTCAGCTTCCAAATGACTCCAACACTGAATGTAGCTTTTCAAATGAAGGTTGCAGAGAAGTGGGAAACTTTGATCAGCTTCAATCAACTCACTTATTGTTCAAAATAACATCCGTAGTGAAACAAGGAAACACAAAACGTAAAAACGGTGACGAGCTTGCTGAGCGTCCACACATCAGCCAAGTGCTCCTGTTTGTTCACGTCAACAAAGTCTTCTGTTTGCTTGAGGTGCATTTATGATTAAAGTCTCACTTTGGCACCATGTGTCTGTTTCTTGCAGCCGCTCTGAGCGTCCTTCCCAACAGATCCCAGTTCTTTCAGTACGAGTCTGTCTCTCTGAGCTGTGGGCAGCAGGGAAACTGTTCTGAGTGGAGCGTTAAGAGGAACACATCCAAAGACACAAATGAAGAGTGTTCAAATTCTGGGGGAAAAAAATGAATCACACTGCTTCACAGCTGACCTTTACCCTACAGACACTGGAGTGTACTGGTGTGAGTCTGCAGCAGGAGAGCGCAGTGAAGCCGTCAGCATCACAGTGACCAGTGGGTTTAAACATTTTCCTCCTACGACCTTCTGTGAGCGACACGAAATGGTTGCTGGTCACCATATCTGACCAAGGCTTATAGTTTCTGACAAGCTATTTCTCAAATGCAGGTTTAGGTCATCTAGTACAGTCAAAAGTTTCTAACGACCGTTTTTTATATTTTCCAACAAGCAGCTTCTTGTGGTGACACTGGCACAAAACAAACTTACTAAGTATCATGTGTAGACTTCTTCAAGCTACTTGAGCTTAAAACGTCCTTCCTTGTTTCTGTCTGTCCCTGAGGTGGCACTGTGATCCTGGACAGTCCTGTCCTTCCTGTGATGGAGGGAGACGATGTGACTCTGAGCTGCAGAAACAAGAACATCTCCAACCTCACAGCTGATTTCTATAAAGATGGGCGTCTCATCAGGAGCAGCTCTACAGGAAACATGACCATCCACTCTGTCTCTAAATCTGATGAAGGACTCTACAAGTGCAACATCTCTGGAACTGGATCACCAGACAGCTGGCTGACTGTCAGAGGTGAGATCGGCCTTTTTAAACAACTTCTTACTGTGAACACTCGGTCCTACATGAACACATTTGGCCAAAGTTATACATGAAAGATTTATTTCCCCACTCACTGACTTAGTAGTAGTTTTGGTGGCTAAACCTAACCAAATTGTGACATTTCACAACATTAACCACTAGTTTTTTTGAAAGTCTAAACGGACTATTCATATTTATTGTTGCTAACTTGACCGCAGAGCCCCTGACATCCAAAACAATGCTAAAGGACCCAAGGCATTAAAAAGCGAAGCCAAGGGATCTCAACCAAGCGTCCATATGTGACTAGTTGAGAATGAATTGGTCAAAAAATGTCTGCAAAGC